TACACACACGCATAAATACTCAGAACATTGGCTGTAGTTAACGATGCTAACTAAAGTGAAAAGACTGAAGAATGAGTGCCTAAAGTAAGCGCATCTAAAAAGAAACTAATAGTTTATCAAATTTTTAGCAGTATTATTTGTCAAAACCAATTCGTATTTACTTTACAATTCCAACAACAATTACAACTTAAACTGTAGTGTTTTTTGAAAGGTTTGAAAATGTGAAGAAGAAAAAACTAGCCAAAACTCTGTAAGCATTTAATAAATTAGTGACGGTGAAACGAGAAGTTTTGATAAACAGATCAATATCAAAGTATAAGAAAGTTGGGGAAAACATTGTTAGCCCATAGTTAAAACGTTCAGCATGGAGTTTGTATTAGGTTTTTATTGTTGCCACACAACTTAACACTTGACTTTTTAATCATTAAACAAAAGCAAAAAAAGAAAAAAAAAGAGAAAAATAGCAAAAAAAACAGCTACAAAGCAAATGACACGAAAGAAAAAGTAAATGTGACAAAAAAGAAAAAAAAAAACATGTAAGAGTACCAAGGAAGCAAATTTAACCGTTTGAAACAATTACATCGCCAATAACAAACAGCACAAAGTTGTTGCAAAAAATTTAATCATCAATTCTGACTGCTTCAGACATTACACTTTTTTTAATCAATGTGCAACAACAAAGACAACAATAAGAACAAAAAACAAAAATCAATTACTTTTTACTTTATTTATTTATTTATTTTTGGCCTCTGATCTCAACCCTCCATTCATTCATCCAATTATCCATCCGTCCATTCATCCATATATCCCGTGAATCCATCTATTCACCCAGCCGTTCATTCATCTGTCCAGTTGTCTCTTCATCCACCCTTCCCTCTATCCACTGATTCGGTGCATCCATTCGGCACAAAATAAGGTCTTAGTCAAACGAATTCGATTTTTATGATTATCAGTAGCTGCCATCATCAAACAAATGCTTATTACAAACATATTTTTAACTACCTCTTCTTTCTCATTATTGCCTTTTTACCTAATTAAAGTTTTACTTTCCTCTTTTTTGCTCTTTTTCTCAGTTTTTTTCTTTTTTCTCTTATTGTTTACGCTCAGAAATAATAGCAACACCCAAGTGCTAACACGTAGCATTTTACGCAAAAATGTTTTCCTCTGAATTCGCCATTTGTTCTTGAAGTCCACCCAGTCTCGCTTACGCATAAATCTTAAATTGAATGTGCACCATGATTTGTATAATAAAACAAAGCAAAACGAAAAGTAAAATAAAAAGGAAAATAGGAAGATAAATAAGCAACTTTTTTTTGCTTCTACTTTCCCTTGTCTTTTCCTCCAGAGCTCAAAAGAAAAAAAAAAAAAAAAAATTCCCTCCGCAGCTCGGAGAAAAAAAAAAGAAACAAAATTAATGCATAGTTCAAGCAAAGATGTTTTAGATGATAACTGAATGATTACTACAAATTTAGTGATAAACTAAGTGACCAGAATAAATCGGCGACTGAGCAGTACATATAAACATATAACTGACTGTGATATAACATTAAGCAGCTGTACCAAAAAAGTCCAACAACGATCGGGCAACAAAATATTCAACCAACTAATCAGCCAAAATAAAAAAAACACCATGCTTTACCAAATTACTAGTTTTTTCGCTCTCGTTTTTGATTATCCAAATGTTATTTTTGTCGGTACCAATTTTTCTATCCTTACTTTAAAAAAACAAAAAAAAAAAAAGAACAGCTAATTTTTTCCAACTTTAAGTACTAAAGACGCAAACGAAATGGTTGTTTTTTTTTTTCAAATTCTTTGCATCACCTTCCTTTTCTTTGTCGCTTTAGCAAATTTTATTTGATTGTTTTTATTAATACTGATATTTATGACTTCAAATTTGTTTCACCCAATATTAGAATACAATAAGTTCACTTGTTATTTTCTTTTCTCTTTTTTCTCCTGACCTTTTTTTTACTTGGTATTGCATAATATTATTAATGTTAATTCTTTACCAAATAATAATAATAGCAGCAGTAAAAATAAATAATATTTTCTCAAATATAAATCGACGTAACAGAAATTTCGAGCTTTTTTTTCTTGACTTAACTTGAGAACCCCAAAACCAACAACGAAAATCACTGTTATACTGTCGATAACTGAGTTGTGGTGACGATGGAGTCAACTGCAGCGACAACGCCAACGGCGGCGACCGTAGTAATGATCGTAGCTGCCATAACAGCGGTAACAGGATGAGACGGAGGAAATGAAGGAGTACTGACAACTGCTGCTTGACGTTTGCTGTTCGTTTCTCTATGACCTTGAAAGCCGTCTTAATAACGGTGATACTCAGGGTTGGTAACTATGAAGATATTGGTACAGAAAAAGGATATTTCCTTTCAGATTTTTTTTAAACTCCTTCTGCGAACGTATTTCGCCCTTTTTTATTCCTCTATATTTTTTTTTCGTGTGTATGTGTGCGTCGAAAAAAAAACCATGCAATAACTTTTTTTCAGGTGCCTTTCTTATTTCACCACTTTCTCAACCCTTTTTTCCAACTACCTACAGAAAAAAATTTAAAAAAAAAAGAAAAACAAAAATTTCCATGAAAAAAATAAAAATTGATTTTTTTCTTTTCCATTTTTTCACTTCCCCCATCAATCTGAAACTTTGTCCTTGAATAAACTTATTTCAAAAATGAGAAAAAATAGCAAACGCAAAGATGATGAAGAAAAACGAACGAAAAAGAACCTAAAAATAGAAAAAAAAAGTTTAGTATAAAAGTTAGCTGCTGTGCAATGAAATTTTCACTCAATTTTCAATTGATTTTCTCTTTTCGCAATTTTTTTTTATCCTCCTGTTAGCTACAATTTACAAAAAAACAAACTACAGTTCTTTGGTATCATAAATGTTCTGTTTTTCTCCACTCCATTTACATTCCTCCCAGTTCTGATACCCCAGTGACTTTTTCTTCTCCTCCCCTTCCCTCCACTCCCAGTAACACTGATTGATGCTAATAAAAAAAACTAGGAAAAAACATTAAGCGTGCTCTACAGATCATCAGAAAATTTTATGCTAAGTCCACTGGTGATGTTGCTGATGATGGTAGTGATGATGATGACGGTAATGATGATAATAATAAGTGGGGCAGCCATCTATAAGAATTCATCTTATTTGCAACAAAGGATAGAAAACAAACACATACAACAAACACACATGACATGTATATAAGCAAAAAAAAAAAGTTAAAAAAAAAAAAGAAACAAAAAATGACAAGATGGAAAATTGGTTTCCTTACTTCGTAACAATGTTTGTAAAAAAGTTTTTTTCCTGCAATTTGAAGCACTGTATCGTAACGACCAATGTTTTTGTCTACAATAAAATTACTAATTGAAAAAAAAAAAAAAAAAAAAAAAAAA